AGGAGGAGGACTTCTTCTTCCACCGGCAAAAAGCAGCCCGCGTCAGGCGTGGCCAGCACGAGCACCACGAAGATGGGAAGACCACCGTGAGGTAAATAAACTGCACCACGCCCTCGTCAACGCCATACTCGAGCGAAGGTATAGCGATGACCACTCCGTGCATAACGCAATGTCGATGAAAGCCCCACGGCGTGCATGACGCCGTACACCACCAGTGGACCCGCATAAAGATGACGAACCGCCTGACCACAGCAAAAATACCCCCCAGCCGCACGCCCCGCCCAGTGCAGACGGTCCAAGGACAGTGCCGATGAGCATCCGTAGGTAATGGGCGTCACTCCACCAACATGCAACACGCCAGCACACTGTAAATGTCCATTGGAAGTGGTAACAATGAATACAGAACACCTCACAATTGCAAGATGTGAAAAATTGACATCTCAGAACTGTAACGATGAATGAAAATGATACAGCAAAGCCCAACCGTATAAATAAGAAAAAGCGTCTGCCTTACTTGCCCATTTGGGCCTGGGCCAGGCTCAGCCACACGAGGACGCCGCCAAGAACCCAGATAAAGGAACGATGCTGATAACAAATGCGGCAAACCCACAATTTTACCGCTGCAATGACGTGCCGTACGCCCTAAAAAGGGGGAAAGGCAACTGGCACGTAAAATAATAACAGCGCTGTGAATAAATAGCGTGGGCAACACTTCCAGGACGAACTCAAAAAGAAGCCCCGAAAATGCACACCGCCTCGACGGAGCCGGCACGAGCACGAACATGGCAGATATCGGTAGCGGATTTCCGGAGCAGATTAACCACAAGTCGCCCCCTCCAAGTCGTGACAGCGCCGAGCCACAATCCCAGCGTTCACCTCCGCGAAGCTATTGTCCCCGAAAGCGCTGAAGTAATCACACCCGTGGGTGGTACAGGCTTGGGACATGCGGGGCAAGCAAGCTGGAACAAAAGCTGGCTTGAGCCAAGATGGCTTGAGCCAAAATGGCTTGAGCCAAAATGGCTACGGAGCGAGGAGGAGGAGGAGGAGGAGGCCGAGGAGGAGGAGGAGGCATGATGAGGAAGGGGAGGGGGAGGGGGAGGAGGAGGAGGGGGAGGGGGAGGAGGAGGAGGAGGAGGAGGAGGAGGAGGAGGAGGAGGAGGAGGAGGAGGAGGAGGAGGAGGGGCTGCGAGCTGCAGGGCTGAGGCGGAGCCCGCGGCAGAGCTCGGCTTCGCGCTTATCCTCCTGCTCCTGCGGCCCACGGGACTGTCCTAAGGGACGGGCCCGCGGGGTCGCCCCCACTGCTTCGCGATCCGGCCACCGGAAGTCGCGCGCAGGGCGGCCGTGGCGGCGAGGGCGCCGAGGAAAACCGGCATGCGTGCCCCGGCCAGAGGAAGGGAGAGGCGCATGAGGAGAACGGCGGGGTGGAGAGGGAGAAGGAGGAAGAGGAGGAGGAGGAGGAGGAGGAGGAGGAGCAGGAAGAAAAGGACGAGGAATAGGAGGATGAGGGCGAGGAGGAGGAGGAGGAGGACGAGGAGAAGGAAGAGGACGAGGAGGAGGCAGGATAATGAGGCAGGATGGAAAGGAAAAGGCAGGAGGGGGTAGGAGGAGGGAGGAAGAGGAGACCCCCAGCCAAACCGAAAATTTTCCGTAGCACCCCGCAGATGCGGATAAGAGTGAGGGGGCGGTGGGGACGTCGGCAGCTTGCGAGACTCTTGGAGAAGCCCGCCGCATGCGGGGTGTGGATCGGTCGCGGGGTGTGTCGCGGGTGGGTCGCTGGTGGGTTGCGGGTGGGTCGCGGATGGGTCGCGGGGTAACAACAACAACAACAACAACACCAACAATAACAACGCAAACAACAACACAAACAAAAACAACAACAAAAACAAACACATCAACAACACTCAGTTGAATATTGTTCGTTCGTATCTGCCCGAGTGTCCGTTAACGCGTAATCCCAAAACCCTTTGATACCCGCTCTCTTCGTCTTCGATCGTACCCCTTTGGGGGGATATGCGTTTCTTCCCTGCAGGCCAGGCCCCCGCAAGCGGCGGGGCGGCCGCGGACCGTCGGCATGGCCAGCGGCAGCGCTGATCGGCGGCAACCTGACCCCAAGAGGGACGGACAGGGGACCGACCACGACGACGACGACGACGACGACGACGAACGAGATCGAGAGAGAGAGAGAGAGAAAACAAAAAAAAAAAAAAAAAAAAAAAAAAACGACAGCAGGGCCACGAAGGGCACGAAGTAGGCCACGAAGGGCGACAGCGGGGACACGAAGGCAATGCGTATGGGGCCACGAAGAGCGCGAACGAGCGGGGGCCACGAAGGGCAGATAATGCGGGGCCACCAAAGGCAACGACGGGGCCACTGAGGGTAGCAACTGGGCCACGCAGGACACCGAGGGGGCCGCAACGGGCGGCAGCTACATATGCGGGGCCACGAAGGGCAGCGAGCGGGCCACGAAGGGCTGCAACGGGGCCACGAAGGGCACCGAGGGAGCCACGAGGGGCTGCAACGGGGCCACGAAACAAAGCGAGGGGGCAACGAAGGGCTGCAGCGGGGCCACGAAGAGCAGCGAGGGGACCACGAGGGGCTGCAACGGGGCCACGAAACAAAGCGAGGGTGCCACCGATGGCTGCAAACGGGCCACGAAGGGCTGCGAGGGGGCCACGACGGGGTGCAACGGGGCCACGCAGGTCAGCGAGGGGGCCACGAAGGGCTGCAACGGGGCCACGAAGGGCAGCGAGAGGGCCACCAAGGGCGGCAACGAGGCCACGAAACAAAGCGAGGGGGCCACGAAGCGCTGCAACGGGGCCACCAAGGGCAGCGATGGGGCCACGAAAGGGTGCGACGGGGTCACGAAAGGCAGCGAGGGGGCCACGAAGGGCTGCAACGGGGCCACGAAAAAAACGAGGGCTGCAACGAGGCCATCAAAACAAAGCGAGGGGGCCACGAAGGGCTGCAACGGGGCCACGAAGGGCAGCGAGGGGGCAACGAAGGGGTGCAACGGGGCCACGACAGGTAGCGATGGGGCCACGAAGGGGTGCAACGGGGCCACGAAGGGTTGCAACGCGCCACGAAACAAAGCGAGGGGGGCTGCAACGGGGCCACGCAGGGCAGCGAGATCCCGATTCCCGAATAATTTGTGAGGGAGTCCCAAGCGTGAGCGCGACTCCTGGGTGCCTAAGTGTCGGGAGCGCGCGGCTTGATGCAATTTCCGGAAATTCCATTGCAAAGACGCTATTCTTGAGTAAATTGCAAGCAAGTCTCCAGCGAAAGCGCGACTCCAGAGCGCCGAGCGAGCGATGCTTTAGTAAATTGTAAGGACGTCCCAGGCGAGAGCGCGATTCCTCAATAAAATGCGAGGAAGTCTCGGGCGGGAGCGGGGGTCTGCTAAATTGTAAGGAAGACTCTGGCGGGAGCCGTTGTTGTTGCAATCCTGGGGCCAACAACATATTTTGAGGAGGTAGATTTCCCCTGATAAAAGACTGGGTTCGAGCGCCGGGAGGGGCACTTCAATTGCAAAATACAATGTGCTCCGGAGGGCGGGATCAACAATATTTGTTCTTCAGCAGTGAGGGTTCAACAACGACGCAACAAGCAGAATCTTCACCACGGATTTCTCACTTCAGACACGCACCGAGAGACAATGAATGACCGTTCGGCCCCTCCACTCTGACAATGTGGGGACCTGCCGTCGGAGACTCGCGCGAGTATTGTGCGGGGGCCTTGTGCGGAACACTATTGCGGGCCGAGCGCGCGCTGCTCGGCACAAGATCCCTTGTCAGCCTTGTGCGCTGGCACTCTTCGCTCCAGCACTCTTTTCATGAAAATTCGTGGTTTCTTGCATGTTGTTCCATCGGCGCGGTCAGCAGACCCAAATCCCCTCCAGCTGACACAGGTCCGGGAGCCAAGGGGAGCCGACCCCCCTTTCTCCCCCTCGGCCGACGCAGGCGTGGGAGCACTGCGTGGCGGCCAGCCGGGGTCGGCGCTGGATCGGGTCCCGCGCGTCCCCCTCGCTCCGCATGCTTCCAGAGGCCTCCGTTCCGTGGGCCCCTGCGTGTCGACCTCTGAACTCGCACGGCCGTCCGGGCCGAGTCGTGTGAAGTCTTGCGGTCGCGCCTCCTCTTCAACAGGAACAGCGGGAGGCCTCCGGAGGCCCACGTGGAGTCGATTCCGGCCTCGTCCTGGTCGACGCCGCCGTCGTCCTCCAGCTCCGGCAGCGCACGGCGGGCGTCGTCGTCCCTGTCGGCGTCGTCCAACCCACATCGTGCTAAAGTCGGCACGCACGCGTACCTTTCCGGAATCCTTACAGGCAGGTTTTTCAGGGTGCGTCTGGCCGTCGCGACGAGAATTAGCAGGCTCGTGCAACAACTTCCACAACCACGACGTAGCAGTCGTCGCCGCCACGGTCACCGTCGTCGTCGTCGTCGTCGTCGTCATCCTCCTCGTCGTCGTCGTCACCGTCGTCGTCGTCCTCCTGAGCCTCCTCTTCCAGCGTCCGCCCCTCGCGGCTGGTCGTCGTGGTGGTGGTCGTCGTCGTTACCACCGCTGTCGTTGCCGGCGTCGCCGTGATTTACCGTCGTTCTTGCATGTTCGTGCCGCGTCGACGCGGCGACTACACTTAAGTCGGGCCTGTCCCCCTACAGGGGGATTTTCGGCGAAATCTGAAACATACGCCCAAAATAATGAAAAAATAATTCAAAAATAGTCTGGGGGCTATGTTTTGAATATTTTTTGACCTTTTTGGAGCATTTCTGGGGAATTGTTATTCCCTATACTCTGCCTAGAAGGGTTCTTACCGTGCAAGCTTAAGGGGCCAGGCAGTGTAAATCGCCCCGGGCGGTTCCCCCGGCATCCGCCCGGTGGTTCCCCCAGTTACGTCCCCTTAGCTTGGCGTTGCTTATCTCATCTTAGTTTAGCTGATTTCATCTTAGCTTAGCTTAGTTTCATCTTAACTCAGGTTTGTCTTAGCTTACCTTACCTTCATCTTAGTTTCGCCGAGCTTTAGCATAGCACAGCACAGCATAGCGTAGCGTAGCATAGCATAGCGCAGCACAGCATACCATAGCATGGCCCAGCATAGCATAGCATAGCGCAGCATAGCATAGCATAACATAGCGCAGCACAGCACGGCACAGCGTAGCACAGCGTAGCATAGTATAGCATAGCAGAGAATAGCATGGCATAGCAGCAAAGCAAAGGCAAAGCAACAGCAGCGACAGCAAAGCAAAGCACAAGCAACGCAAAGCAAAGCAACAGCAAAAGCAAAAGCAAAAGCAAAGCAAAGGAAAGGCAAAGCAAAAGCAATGTGCGACAGATGCCGAGCTAGCCTCGATGGCCGGACCGAAGCCCCCGCAAGCAGTGCCTTCCGTAACCATTTCGGTTCAAGACCGGAGGTTTTGCCTAGAGGGTTAGTTTAGCTTAGCATAGCATAGCGTATCGTTGCAATAGCATAGCAATAGCATATCATGACATAGCCAAGCATAGCATAGCATAGCACAGCGCAGAATAACATAGCATAGCATAGCGTAGCGCAGCTTAGCATAGCATGGTATAGCATAGCATAGCTCAGCATAGCTCAGCGCAGCAAGACATAGCATAGCTCAGTATAGCATAGTATAGCATAGTATAGCATAGCATAGCACAGCATAGCGCAGCATAGCATAGCATTGCATAGCATAGCTTAGCGCAGCATCGCATGGCATAGCATAGCATAGCATAGCATAGCAACTAATGCTGCTTTCCTAGGGGCTCCAACTTCTAAGTAGGGTCGCACTGGTTTATTGTTTCATCGAAAATCCCTCGGGGGACACGCCCGACTATACCATCGTGGGTGTGACCTGAGCGCCAGTTTCTGACGGACCGCATCGGCCGATTCTGGGACACCAGGCCGACGGTGTCCCAGAATTGGCCGATGTCGTTTGTCAGACATCAGCGAACAGGTCATCACTACACAAATCTGTCGTATCTCCGCCGTCATCGGCCTTCCAGTCGTCGTCGCCGTCGTCAGAAATCAGCGAACTGGTCCTAACTACACGAATATGTCATCGGCCTTCTAGTCGTCGTCGTCGTCGTCGTCGTCGTCGTCGTCGTCGTCGTCAGCCTCCCGCATCCCAGCGCCGACAGCGGCGGGCAAGGCCAAGGACTGGCTCATTGCTGGCGGCGTGACTTGGGGCGCCGTCCCTCAGAGCACGCGGTGGGGGATGAATGTGAAGGGGAGGAGATCAGAAAAAGGAGGAGAAGTGCAGGAAGAGGAGGCGGCGGAGAAGGAGGAGGAGTGACTAGAGGTATGGAGGGGCAGGAGTGAGGAGCAGCAGGAGGAGAAGAGGAGGAGAAGGATGAGCAGGTGGACGAGGAGGAGGTGAGGGGGAGAAGTGGCGGAGACTGCAACTAGGAGCAGGAGGAGGAGGAGGAGGAGGAGGTGGAGTGAGGGGGAGAAGCGATGAGGAGGAGGAGGAGGAGGAGGAGGAGGAGGAACTGGAGGAGTGAGGGTGAGAACCAGGATGAGGGGCACAGCGGGGGGGGCAGGAGGAGAGGAGTGGGGATGGGAGGAGGAGGAGCAGGAGGAGGAGGAGGAGGAGAGGCGAGGAGATGGGGAGGAGGTTTCAGAGGGAGGAGGAGGAGGAGGAGGAGGAGCAGCAGGAGGAGGAGGAGGAGGACCAGGAGGGCCAGTTCTCGGATACGATGTCGCATCTGCTGCCCTGCTGCAGACGGCTCTGGTCGGCCCTGGGCCGCCAGATACTCAAGGGCTTGGTTGTGGAGTTCGGCTTGCTTGGCACCATGTTCGTGTCGTGGCGAGCCCAGCGCGGGCGTTCAGGCAGGAACGTTACCAGTTGCCCGGGAGCGGCGCGCTACCGGGAAGTCAAGTCGTGATCGTACAATATTGATTGTTCCGCAAAGTGTCAGAAGCCAACGCCGACGTCGTCCAGACACGAATTTACTGTATCAGAGCTGTGAGACCACAGGGGGTAACGGTTTCGTTTGGGCGTTGTTCGTTCGATCTTTGTTCCGATGTGGGGGGCCATCCTCCACGCGTAGGTTAATGATTGCAGTCTACCTGAAAACCCCGGCCCCTCATCCTGTGGGAAACGCGCTCGCTGTATGGTGTATCTGTTGTCGAGATGTATATGTTGAAGGCCTTACGTTCACTGCCATCGGCCCTGTGTGATATGAGGAGACGGAGAGGGATGAGGTGGAGGAGGATGAAGATGAGAAGAAGCAGGAGCAGGAGGGCATGGGGGGCAGGAGGTGTGGTTGGGGGGGCCTTCGATTCAATTGTCGGGACCCTGGACGAGGAGGGTGTGTATTCTGACCTTGTCCCCTTGGGACCCCCCCTGGCGAGGAAAGGAAGAAAGGGAAGGGGGTTCCCATCGATGCAAGTGCGACATCTCTCGCAAACCGATGCGAGAGAAGGTGGCAGAATCCTGGACGGGGAGGGAGCTTATTCTGAACCCGAGACCCCGCTCAACAACCCCATGGGACCCCCCCCCGGCGGGGCGGGGAAGGGATGAAAGGGCAGGGGTGTCCCTTCGATTCAAGTGTCGGTCCCCCGGACGGACCCTCCTCAACATCCCCCCTTAAGACCTCCCCCCCGGCGGGGAAGGGATGAAAGGGGCGGGGCCACCACCGGATGGGGAAAGAGTGCATTCTGACCCATGACGCCCCTCAACACCTCCCCCCCTGGACCCCCCCCACTGGCCGGGAATGTATGAAATGGATCGGGCTTCCCTTTGGTTCAAGTGTCGGCCCCCCACACGGGCAGGGAGTGCATTCTGACCCCGGACTCCCCTCAACGCCCCCTCTGGGACCCCCCACCCCCTTGGCTGGGAAGGGATGACAGGGATGGGGCTTCCCTTCCCTTCGGATCGAGTGTCTGCCCCCCGGACGGGGAGGGAGTGCATTCTGACCTGGGAGCCCCTTCAACATCTCCCTGGGGACCACCCCCGTGGCGGGGAAGGGATGAAAGGGAAGGGGAAGGGGCTTCCCTTCGATTCAAGTGCGACGTTTCTCGCAAACGAAACACACCCACAGGATCGGCGGATTCAAACCTGAAAACACACGGTCCCTCATTCCGTGCAGGTGCCGCGTTCAATGTACAGTATATAACACCTGAGAAAACCCAATCAGTGGATGAATTGAAAATTGATACTATGGAACTTGAGATCGATCATGAGATCGATAGTGGAATTGACAATGAGGACGATTCTAAGGTCGATCGTGAGACCGAGAGTGAAATCGATTAAATGATGTCGATAGTGAGATTGATCGCGAGATCGATCATTCGATCTCTAGTGATATCGCTTGTAAGATTGATAGTGAGATCGATTGTGAGATCGATGGTGAGATCGATCGAGAAGTCGGTAATGAGATCGATGGTGAGACCGATCGATAAGAAGATTGACTAGGAACCCAGGAACCGAAATCGGCGCGGAACCGAGAACCCAGGAACCCAGAACCAAGAACCTGGGAACCCGGCCGAACCCAGCGTGCGACCAATAAAATCGGCGGGGCATTTTCGCTAAATTCTTCAACATCCGCGAGGACCCCTTCAGTGCAAGCACTGATTGGGGAACTTGTTGTCGAGATCTCTATTCACTACACCAGAGAAAGACCCTAGTCAGTGGATGGTTCCGAGACATGATGGCGTCGTAAAAAAATCAGAACGGCGGGTTTTCGGCCGTTTGCGGCCTCGTGGGGCCCTCGCCGGGCCTCGGGACCGTCAAAAACGACTCAGGATGAAAAACCGGTCCCGGGGAAAGGGTCGGGATTTCCGGGGACGCTGTCCTGAAAAAAATCAGGACGTCGCATGTCTGGGTTTTCGCTGAGGAGATCGACCGGGAACCCGGGAGCCCGGGAACCCAGAACTCAACACCGAAATCGGCCCGGAACCGATCACCGGGAACCCGGGAACCCCGTTTGCCACCAAAATCGGCGGGGAATTTTCGCCAAATCTTCCAATTTCCGCTAGGACCCCTTCAGTGCAAGCACTGATTGGGGAATAAGAGTCACATGAGGTTGTGTCTTTTCACGTTGGTGGTTGGTTCGGCCATGGACTTGCAATACTGAGCACGTTCAATAACTCCGATGCTTTCATGCGGACCAAGAGGGCAAGTGCGCAGTAAACCACGCATTGCCAGCGCCCGTTGTTCCATTCCTATTTGCAAGTCGGGCCTGTCCGTCTACAGGAGGAATATTCGAAAATAGTAAGAAAATTATCTGGGGACTATTTTGTGAGTATGCTTCAGCAATTTTGGAGCATGCTTGGTGTATGTTTAATTTTTCGTCGAAATGTCCCTTGTAGGGGGACACGCCCGACTTAATCCTACTTGTAATCTGCGTCCCATCCTGCTTGCAGACAGGAGGAGGTGAAGACAGACGCGGGGGGGGGGGGGGGCGGCCACGGAGCCCCAAGCGTAGGGAGCGGACACAGCTCTTCACTGGGAAAGTGTTCGCAAGCTGCTCGAACGAGTTTTTCTGCTTCCTCTTGGTGAGGGCGGGCCAGCGCGAGAGGACTCGAGCCAACTATCGGGGGCGGAAAAGAGGGGGTTGATGACTATGGGGGGGTGGATATCATGGCGGGGGCCATGATATTTGCCCAGATCTCAGGGCGCCTCTTCTTGTTTCCGTACGTCCCTGGCCCCCACGCTGGGCCGCGCACATGCCGCCGGTCATGATTTGCATTCCCCCCTCTTGGACACCCCCTTCTAGGCCGCTCCCGATAGATTCGACGGTTGCAGCATGTCGGTTTTGTGACGTTGGGCGTTGCTCTTCCTTGGGCTGATTTCCGGGCCGCTTCATCTGCCTCAGCATTGCGCATGGCAAAGCTCGTTGTTTTCCCCGAGGCTGTACAAGCATGCCATGGCATCCTCCTTAGGGCATCAGGCGAGCTGACCCACAGCAGTCTGATGATCGGAATGTACATGGGCGGCGAGGGAAGAGCAGCACCTACGTTGCAAACAGTGATAGCAGGGAGGTGCTGAGCCGCTCCAGCTGGTTGCCCGAAGAGATTGGCAACCTGGCTTGTGAGGGCCGGAAACAATTCACCATTTAGATCGCTACGAGTGAGAAGCAACTAATATGGTACAACGCAAACAAATATTTTGGGTGTTAAGGAGATTGACAGGATGAGTACAGCTTTTAGCTTTTGGCTGGATCCGCTTCGACTCTTACATTATACTATCGTAGATGCCTACGGCGAGTCGCCGCCGCCCTCTGCCTCTTGGAAGCACATGCGTCGTAAAAGGTTGAGCGAAAGCGCGGCAGCGCTGGTGGGGAAACCACATGGTGGGCGTGCCTTCCTAAGCAGGCGGCCGCGTTGCTGCAATGCTAGCAGCAGCGTGCAGTACTGGGGATACTTGGCAACCGCGCTGCACACTTTTCCGTCTGTTTCCCTCGCTTGCGTTACCCTCCCTCTTCTTCTCTCTCTTTCTCTCTCTCTCTCGCTCTTTTCGAGCCTGTGTCTCGGGTTGCTGGCAGGATAGGTCGGCCATTTTCGCAGGACAGCCTTTTTGGTTCGATGTTGACATCAGACGGTGCCGTCAACACCTATCAGAACGGGGCAGAAGACGTGAGCGCCGTTTGGATATGGTTGATGTCATTGCTGTTGTCGTTGCCTTTGCGTCTGCGAAGGTCTCAGTCGAAAACGGGGGAAGGGGGAGGAGGAGGAGGAGGAGGAGGAGGAGGAGAAGGAGGAGGAGGAGGAGGAGGAGGAGAGTGAGGGAGCGAGCAGACAAGATGAGGGAGAAGAGTTGCGGGAGGAGGTTTGTGCCATCAGAACCAGAAATGCTACCGAGCCCACAATCGCTACAGTACCGTTTGAACTCGCTCGTCTTGCGTCGGGTCCTGGGCCGTGGGGGCGCGCGTCCGAAAAGGGACAGGAAGCAGGTGATAAGTAGAAGAGCAGGGGGGGGAGGACGAGGCGGACAAGGTAAAAGGGAATCATGGTAAGGTGAACAGAGGGAAGACCGATTACCTGAAGGAAGGTGGCATGGATGACACGGAGGCGGAAAGGGGAGAAGACACGATAGAGGAGCCAGGAGCGAAGATAGAGGAGGCGAAGGGGGAGAGTGGATGCATTGGGGAGGAGTGGGGAGATATAATGGAAGAGGCGGAAGCAGGATCACCGAGAGGGAGAAGGCAAGAAGATGGTGGATAGGGAACGCGAATCGATAACAAGTAAGACGAGGAGGAGGAGGAGGAGGAGGAGGAGGAGGAGGAGGTGGAGGAAGTGACGGAGGACGGCAAACATGGAGAATAGGAGGGGAAAGGGGCCATCCTAGTGGCCGCCTCCTCGTGGTCCTCTTTGCGGCCCCGCCAGGCGTGGCGTTTGCCTGAGAGAGGTGCGAGGATAAGAAGGAGGGATGACTGAGAGGGAGGAGCGGGAGGATGTAGGACATGCGAGAAGCGGTGAGCAGAATGACGTTGAATGGAAAGAGGAGACAGGGCGGTGGAGGGAGTGAGGAGTCAGGAGGGGTTTAGCGAGGAGGGAGGAGAGAAGGGAGGATGGAGGAGGTAGCAGCGAGGAGCAGGGAGGGGATAGGAGAGGAGGGAGGAGGAAGAGGAGGAAGGGGAAGATTGAGGAGGATGGGGTGGGAGAAGGAGGAGCACGAAGCGGGCTGGCCAAATTAAGGTGTGACCCAGTTTCTGATGACTGGCTCCATCAAGTCCAAGCACGCCGACAAGGGTAGCAGCGTGTATGGATTGATATTGATGGGCGGTTTCTTAGGCGACGCTGGGGGCAGGAGAAGAGGGTTCAGTGACATTATACATGCGCTCGCGTGGGGAGGGGGGGGGAGGGAGGGGGGGGGCGGAAAGAAACCGGATGAGGGAAGAGGGCAGAGAGAGGGAGGGAGGGAGGGAGGGATGAGCAAGAAGCGACGAGGGAGGAGGGAGAGGGAGAAGGAGGAAGAACGGGAGGGAGAAAGGGAGAGGAGGGGGCGATTTGGCGAAGCCAGCGTCACCTCATCACCCTCGTCAACATCTTTGCCTCGCTCACTTTGCTCGCCCCGCCTTTACCCCCGTCCGCTGGTCCAGCACAGATCCAGAAACTTCGCGCGGACCCACAACAGCTTACGTCTATGGCGTTGTTTCTTTCTCGTGTGGGGGGGGGGATCATACCAGGGGCGACGGAGGGCGCACCCGTACAGCACTGGGGGCCGCGGCGGCAGCCTGGGCTGGGGCCCCCCTCGGGGCCCCGTCACCCGACGGTGCCCCATCGTTCGTAGGGTGCCGCGCTCTTCGATGCCCGTGGGGCTGCCTTGGTCGTCCTCCCCGTCCCGAGCCGCTCTTCGGACTCTGGGAGCGCCACCGCCCGGCCGGCCAGATCTTGGACGGGGCTGGGAGTTGGGACGAGGATAAGTCCGCCTGGAGGATCGCCATGGGCACGGAAAGAAGGGGGACGAAGACTAACAGCAGATCCCGTCTATTTTGGAGAGGAACCGCTTTCGGCCTCGCTGCGGACGCTGTCCACTGGAGACAGAAGGTCGCCTGCCCAACAGCTGCCGCCGTCGTTGTTGGACAACATTTGTTGTTGGGCATCGTGCCCATTTTTCCGTGCCCACCTCGGGCGTCCTAATCCGTTCCACAGCCTTCCGACATGCTCTCAGAGCGTTCCAGAGCGCTCTGAGCAGGCCGCGGCGCCCGAGACATCCTCCGGAGCCGCCGGATCTCAGAGTTTCTCGATGTAACCGTACCCGATCGTACCCGATCCGCCTCGCCGCCGCCACGGGGGGGCGCCACCGCCGAGCGCGTTGTTGGGTGGCCACGTGGTGAGGACGACAATAACAACAACAACGACGCCGACGACGACGATGACGACGACAACAACGACGACGACAACAACGACGACGACGACGCGGCGGGCGGGCTGCAAACCGGGCGGCCCCTGGTGTCACAGGCGGCGACGGGGAGAGGCCAGGGACGCCGCATCGTCCAGATGCCCCGTCCAGGCAGCAGGGCTCCAGGGCTCACCCAGACTCCGCACGATCCCGACGGCATCACAATCATCATCATCATCATCATCATCATCATCATCATCATCATCATCATCATCATCATCATCATCATCATCATCATCATCATCGGTATCCATGTTGGCTCAAGCCATTTTGGCTCAAGGCGCCTGGTGGCCAGGCACCAAGGCCGGGAGCGGACGCGCTCCCCTGGCCCCGCGGGGCCGCTCTCCCTCGACCCGCCGCGGCCGCGCCTTCCTCCCCTCCCATCGCTATGCCGTCCGAGGTCAGCGAGTCCAAGCCAGTATCGCTCACATCCACTCCTCCCGCCTCCCCTGGAGGGATGAGTACCCCCCCGGCGGCGCCTGGAGGTATGTCCACGGAGGGTATGAGGGACACCGAGAAGATCCTCGCAGCCATGCGTGATATGATTGCTCCTCTGTCGTCGTCGGTCGCCAGCCTGTCCAGTCAGTTGAATCTCGGCGTGCAGGAGATAAACCAACAGATTTCGGGAATCCAGGGTCAGATGATCGCCGCTGAGAAGAACTTCCAGACATTACAGCAGGCGCACGCGGAACTGGCCAAACAGACGGCAGCCAATTTCGAGCAGATGCGTGCGATCCACGAACAGGCTCTCCTTCAGTGCATTCAGGACCGTGAGACCGCAGAATGCGCCATCCGTGATGAGCTCAAAGGAATGATCCAGACGATGCGTGACGAGATCCAGGACCTTCAGAAAGTCGTCGAGCTAGGGACCCCGACACCTCGTGGGGACGAAGAAAGGCAAGTCCGTCGGAAGGTCAAGTCTGGGCTAGTGGGTAACCCCTCGCGTCTTGTGGTTCTTGGATTTCCACGGCCGCTAATGGAGAATACGCTCCGTGAAGCTGTCCAGAGTATCCTCACCCGCTGTGCTCCGTCTTCGACTCTGGGTTCGATTCAGGTCAAGGCCTACGATTGCAGTTAGAAGTTGTTCCTGGACGTTGATTCCAACCTAGAGGCCTCCACGTTCCATGGATTGGCATCGTCCGTGGGCACGTTCCCCTTTCCGAACCCTGAGGGCGGCCCCGACTTACAGCCGCGGGTCCGACGTGATCTTCACCCCTCTTCCAGGAAGCTGTTCTACTATCTCGGGAATATGCGACAGCATGTCTCCAGAATCTTCGGGGCGGACTAAGTGGGGTCGACGGGGCTAGGAGGTGCGGTGTATGTGATGAAGGACAACGGAGTCCCTGTGCAAGTGGTTAAGATTTCGATTGTTGATGATGGCCCCACCGTGGGCACCGCGCAGCGTGGCGTCGAGATCGAGGGGCCGACGGAAGTGGGAGGGCAGCAGCATGCACAGTGTCTGCACGCCAGGTTCGCAGAGATCCGCCCCTTTCGGTGAGTATCGGAACAGTTCGACAGGTGAGTGCGCGGCGGGGAGAAGTCCAGTGGGTTCTGCTACTGAGTGCTCGTCCGCCCTCTCCGCCCAGTTTCACGCACACCACGCAAACGACAGTGCTTTATCCTGCTCGCCGCCTGCTGGGGAAGCTGGCGGTGTCTACCGCCCTGCCCGTCCTCTGTCTCTCTGCAGTTGGAACACGCGCGCGCTCTTCGCCTCTCTTTCGTCTCGTTCATCTCGGTCACGTTCGCGCTTCCTTCGGGCTAAGCAGCTGCTCTCACAGTATCAGGTCATGTGTTTACAGGAGACGCACGGATCTGAAGCAGACTTGGTTATCCTTCGGGGCGAAAGGCGGACTGGGCATTTGTTTTGGGAGCTTTCTGGAGGATCGGAACGCGGGGGTGGTGGTGACCTTCCTGTCTTCGGATCTCTGTGACTGCTTCGACCCGATCGCTCCGATTACGGTCGTTCCTGGGCGGGTGTTACTCGTCCATGGTCGGGGACCTCGAGGCGACTTGGCAGTGGTCAATGTACCTATGCCGAACACGTGCGATGACGTTCGCATCTATCATCAGTACTTACGACTCATCAATGCCGCCCTTCTTGCGGCAGCGCATACCATGGTTATCATTCTGGGAGACTGGAACTTCTGTACGATGGAGGATGGTAGGTCTCTTGTCTCAGGGGAGATTGGGCTTGGGGACCGTTTGCAACGTGATGATTTTCAGGAACATTGTAGCCACTGGTGTGAATTACTCCAACCAGACCCGACCCGAAGGGATATTGTGAATCGGGAACTGAGGGGGCTGGCCAGATTAGATCGGATTTACACGACCCTTCCTGCAGGTATTCTCAATGAGATGACCGTTGTTGTCAACGCTGTCGGCGCCCCCATGCATCCGAGGGCCTCCTCCGGTCACATTCCCGTCGCTGCCACTGTTTCCCTCCCGACCCCGAAAGGTCGGTTCTCGGTTCCGAAATGGATCAGCCAGCATGCCGACTACCACAGAATGGTTTCCGAACAGCCACGGGAGCTGACGCCCCCATCGGACCCTGCCCAGAAACTCGCGAGGGTGAAAGAGGTTGTTGGTACGGCTGCTGTGGAATTTAAGAAGGCCCTTAAGTGTCGACCAGCGGGCAACGATGCGGGACGGCTCCAGTTTGCGTTCATGGCACACCGTGGATGGAGGGGTCGGCAGTGGTATCTCTGTCTTCGTGCCATTCGCTGCTACGCTTCTTTCCTGCCTTTCTTCGACGTCGACGGCGGTGCGTGCACTGATCCTGGTGGCCTCCACAGTTTGGTGCTAACTTTGAAGGGGCGTTGGTTTTATGCGGAGTTGGAGGAGTTGGATCATAGTAACCAGGTGGAGGAGGTCAGGACCAAGAAGAGACGGAGGCTGGTGGCTCTTAGGCGTGGGTGGGACCTCATGAGGAGGAGGACTGGACTGCTAGGCGTATTGGACGAGAGCGGGACCCCGTGTGCCTCCCCAGAAGCGGCCTCTGCGGCACTGGTAGCCCATTGGAGTAAGGTCTTTGCACAGGCGGATTACGACCCGACTCATTGGGAAGAAATGCTGACTCACGTTCAGACTATTGGCGATTGTATTCCTGCCCCACGGTGGAAACTTGACGCGGATGAATGTCGGGGCCGCGTCGGCCAGAAATTTCATCTGCTCCTGGCCCTGATGGGATCCCGCATGGATGCTGGAAGGTCCTTGAGGCGACCGATGCTTTGTTCGAGGTTTACGAGGAGGTTTTCAACAGTGCAGGAGGTGCTCTCCCCCCTGAATGTCGGGTTAGTCGCGTGGTGTTCCTCCCGAAGGGCAGCGGCCCCCGTGATCGCAGCGACTTTGTCTCTCGTGCACCTGCCTCCACCCGCCCGCTCTCCCTTGCGAATGCGGATGCGAAGATACTCCCCGATGCCTTCTGTCTGGGGCTCAATGACGTCGCTCCTGAGACTGTGGATGCCCCCCAGCGTGGTGGGGTTCGAGGGCGCAACATTCTAGACAATGTCGTTGAAGTTGAAAAATGGGGCCTTATCCAACACATGTGTGGGAGGGATAAAGCGGGTGTCTTGTTCACCGAATTCAAGGCGGCATTCCCTTCGATCCTGGCCGAGTGGATTTTTGCCGTTTTGGTGGCCATGGGGGTCCCCAGCGAGACCGTGGGTTTCTTCAAAGCCCTGCGCGCCAACAATACGGCCCTGGTCTGCCTCGAGGGCGCGGCCGAAACGGTTCCCCTTGTGGATCGACGTGTGCGGCAGGGGGGATCCTGCGTCAATGACCCTCTTTGCTCTGGCTCTGGACCCCGTACTGCGCTGGATCCGCGCCCGCCGTGTCGAACGTGTAGGTGTCCAATTGGCGTGCGCTGATGACTGCTGCTTTGGAGTACGTG